CTGATCTTCATCAAACTCCTTAACCTCTCTAGGCCTCAGTTTCCTCTTATGTCAAAAGAGGAGTTGGATTATATGACCTTTGAGGTTCCTTCATGCCTTAGATCTAGGGTCCTTTGAGCCTATGTGTGGCCTTGAGCAAGTCACTTTTGCTCAATGTTGAGGCTGGGGTAGATTACTACTAAGGTCCCTTCCAACTCTAGATCTCTGAGTCCATGATCCTAAGTGTAATGTTGGTAAGTCTTATCCAATCTTTGGGCCTCAGTTTCCTCATTTGTAAAATCAGAGGGTAAGACTAGATGACCACAAAGGTCCCTTCCAGCTTACCTATATGAGTCTGATCCCATGTATGACTTTGAGCAATTCCTTTGCCCTCACTGGAACTCAGTTTCCTCATCTGTAAAATGTGGGAATTGGGCTGGATGGCCCCTGAGGTCTCTTCCAGCCCTAGATCTAGGATTCTATGTGGGACCTTGGACAAGTCACTTCACCTTCTGGGCCTCAGTTTCCTCCTCTGTAAAATGAGGGGGCTGGATTAGATGAACTGTGAGGTCACCTTCCAGCTCTGTATATATGAGTCTCTTATCCTATGTGTGACCTTGGGCAAGTCACTTCACTTCATGAGCCTCAGTTTCCTCCTCTGTAAAATGAGGGGTTTGGTCTAGGTGGACTGTGAGGTCGCCTTCCAGCTCTACATCGACGCTCCTGGGATCCACATACAGGGCGCCCCAAAAGTCTTTGTGTAGTTTTAAGCTATTAAAGCTTAAACTGTACTAAGACTTTTGGGACACACTGTACTCGTACTTCAATGATTGTATGAACTCGTCAGTGTGGGCGTTCATTCCCCCAGTGGGAATTACAAGCTCTCCACGCCGTGCCCTCTCATCCTGACTGAATCCTGTAAGATTCGTGTCCATGTCAGATCTTAAACAGCGCCTTTTCCTCAAACTTGTTTCTGTGACACTAAAAATTTTTGGAAAGCAACTGACCTATGATTTCTTTCCTTTCCTTTCCCTTTTTCATTGTTTGTTTGTTTTGCAAGATGAGACTATCATTGGGAAAGAATTCAACAGCTCTGGTAGAATGCCCCAGAAAATTTCACAAGCTCTTTTAGAAAGTCTTGGGCTCTGAGCATTGGTTTAATTATTTATGTAGCAAAAAACATTTCCCTCTCTTTCCCTCTCCTCCTTGCCCCCCCTTGCCCAGCCCCCCTTTAAGGCTTATTTCTAAAGAGTAAATTTTTAAATGATCAATCCCCTTGAATGTAACACTGGCAAAGAAATAATGAACAGAGAAGAATGACTAAGCTCAAATTTTCCATCACCTTGGTTCCCATGCCACGAATTGAACATTTCCATTCTTAAAATTCATATTTTCATTGATCACTGGGGAAGGGGCTGACTCTGGAATTCTCATTTGGAGTGTTTTTTGTACTTATTTTGAGGGCGGGCCTAAAACTGTATTACTTGCCACCTCCTTTATGATACCTTTCCTGAACACTGCACCCCTCCCCATCCCCAAGTCAGCTCTTTTCCAAGTGACCTCATACCACCTTACACTTGTTTTGTATGCTTATCATATTCAAGTTTGTAAGTGATCTACTTATCATTCCCATTGGTCTGTACATATAGAGGGACCCTGTCTTATGTACCTTTGTTTCTCCCAGTTAGCTTAGAATCTTATGTGATACATGCTCAATAAAGCCTTGAGAGAAATAATGTACCCCAAAACACTCATTAATGGCTGAGCTAACAGTCTTTTGAACGGTGAGAGATGTAGCTGTAGTTTAGTGGGGAAAGTACTGGACTTGAATTCAGTACCCAGATTGAAGTGTCAGGGCCAACATTTGCTGTCCATTTAGCCTTGGCCAAGACCTTTGATCTCTCTGAGCCTCAGTTGTCCTCATCTGTAGAATGAGGATAATAATATTTTCCCTACCTATTTTCACTGGGTTGTGAAGGATAAACAACAAAAGGGAAAGCATTTTGTAGATTTTAAATGACTATGGAAATGTGCAATATAATTATTACTTATGGTTGAAAGGCAGGCAGCGTGGTACAATGGAAGGCATGAGTTCAAATCCTGGCTTTGCTACTTCAAACCACTCCTGTGGTCATGTAGCAGCTAGAGAGAGGAAAACTGTGTCCCCCATATGGGACTTGGGTGATCGTCATCATTCACTTGAAGGGGAGGGGGGAATGATGCATACAAGAAGGGCATCATGGAAGTTGCCTAGAACAATTCCTGTTTGTGGAACTTAAGTTTCCCCACCTAACAGATGGGAAATGCCAATTCCAAACAGCCCTGGCCCAGGGAGAAGTGAGGATCAGGAAGAAGTACTTTTGAAATAGTACAAATACCATGAAATCACTGAACATTATTATTATTACTTGGAATTTTAAAACTGCTGAATGTACTTTCAACTCTCAAGGTTTGTACTGGGAATCATTTGAATTCAGTTTCTCATTTTGCACGAAAGCAATAAACATCTTTTTAAAAGATTTCTTTTTCCATTCTAAGTGGTTAGAGGGAATAACATAAGCATAGATCTTGTGAATTCCTTCTGAGTGGAAAATTTTTAAATATGGTCCCAATCTAAAATTGAACAGGTACAGCATTGAAAAAAAGGTGTTTGCTGAAAAGTCAATTTATGTTTTCCTTGACTTCATTAACTGAGGACAGTTTTCAGAAGGTGCTAGAGGAGATCAACTTCACACATTTGGTCGAGAAGATAAAACTTTTAAAAAATAAGACTCCCTGGGAGACATATTGGACTACTACCTCCAATCTTGGCAGTGGGAAATTGCATTGAATTGCAAAGTGGGACACCTGGGTTCAAGTTCCTTTGGGTGCAAGTGAGCGCGTGTGTGTGTGTGTGTGTGTGTGTGTGTGTGTGTGCGTGTGTGAGAGAGAGAGAGAGAGAGAGAGAGAGAGAGAGAGAGAGAGAGAGAGAGAGAGAGAGAGAAATGAGGATTTGGTGCACGCATATTTCTGATCCTTAGTAGTGAAGACAAAAGACCAAAATTTGAGAACTGACTCCACCACTAATTACCTGTGAATCAATTGTAGTCTGATTATTAGTATGTATGTGAGTGCATGAACCCATATGTATGTTTAGTCATGTGAATTCAGTGCTTTAGTCAATTTCTTATGTGAAAACTCCATTGACCTGACAACTCCTTTGTAATCTTTTGTCTCAGAGATGTACTTGAGATACTGAAAGCTTATAACTAGCTTGTGTTCTCATAGCCTGTATATGTAAAAGGCAGGATTTTAGCTCAGGTCTTCTGAATCCAAAGCCAGCCCCTTTATTTATTCTACCATATGGCTTCTCATGCTCACTGCTTTTAGTATGAAATGTATTTCATGTCATGAAGAAGGCCCTGAGCTTCAGGGCTCCTGTAGTTAAATGGAAACTCTGGTAGGCCCTGCCAAATTGGAAAGACTTGTAATGGCCTGAGGACAGGAACAATTTTATTTTTTGCATTTGTGTCTCTAGCACTTAAGATATTCCCTGGCAAATATATTAGGTGTTTAATAAAATGCTTTCTAAAGAATGTGGTGCAATGAAAGCATATTGGATTTGGGATCTGTGGACATAGGTTCAAAACCCAGCTTACTACCTGTGCGACCTTGGCCCATGTGATTTCTTTCCTGGGCTTCATTTTGCTCATCTGTAAAATGAGGGGCTTAGACTGAATGATCCCAGAATCCCTTGCAGTTGTACCTTTATGATCTTATGTGTGCCATTGGGCAGGTGACTCCTTGGTTTCAGTTTCCTTCTCTGAAAATGATAAGGTTAGGCTAGATGGCCTCTGGGGTCCTTTCCTCCTCCAGAGGATCATGGGTCACCTAGGCTAGCCTAGGTAGGTAAAAAGAGGCACATCAGCAGTTTGGCCACTGTCAGTGAACTTGAGTTTCACGACTACCCATGAAATGTAAGGTAAAGAATAATATGGTATTAGGGACTTCTCCTCAAAATAAGCCAAAAAAATTCTAAATGAGGATCTCAGAGTTGGTATCTTTCCTAGTGATCACTGAAAATAAGAATTTTCAGCAAGAGAAACAGCTAAAACTTGACTTGGAAAACAAGGGTGGTAGAAGGCAGATTGGCTTAGATGGTCTCTACGACCCCTTCCAGCTCTAAATGAATGATCTTCTGGTCTTAGGTCATTTCTCTTCCATGACCCTCAGTTTCTTCTTCTGCAAAAGAAGGGGGTTGGACTGGTTAGACTTGGAGGTTTTATTCAGCTTGAAATCTATGTTCTTAAAAAGCTGCTTAACCTGCATGGGTCTCAGTTTCTTTATATGCAAGTAGCACCTACTTTACAGAGTTGTTATAAGGCTAAAAGTAATATATGTCAAGTGGTTTGATAACCATATACATACATACACATACACACATACCACATATATACCATATATACATTTCTCTCTCTCTCTCTCTCTCTCTCTCTCTCTCTCTCTCTCTCTCCCCTCTCTCTCTCTCTCTACACACACACACACACACATATACACACATATACCTTATATATAACAGAGAGAGAGAGAGAGAGAGAGAGAGAGAGAAACAGTGGCTCTTTTTATTATCATTATTATGTGGAAATTGGGGATGTTCTAAGGGCTTCACTGTAAATGTAGAATTCTAAAGGCCATGCTCTCTGGGAAGCTTGGTTTCTTTCTTTGTAAAACGAGCAGCTTGGACTAGCTGGTCTATGGCGTCCCCTCCAGCTCTACGTCTCTGTTTCCCATCCCTGGGCTTCAGTTTCCTATTCCTGAAGGAGAGGGTTGGACTCGATGATCTCGGGGGCCCTGATGGTGGTTATATTCGTACTACAAGACATGTATGTGGGGAGGGAGGGGCAGAGCACGGTGCAGGGCGGGCGCCAATGGTGAGAATCTCGAGTCTCGAGACCATAACAGTTTCCATGCGTCACAGCGTCGTTGGCACAAGAAGGGGCACGTGACATGGGCAAAACAGAAGCAGCCATTGCTAGGCAGCTATGCCGGGAGACCACAGACGCATCAGAGGTCCGGAGAAGTCACAGTCACCCATCTTATATGCGCCTCCGGATCAGGCGCTAAAGGTGTATACTGGGGAATACATCCCTACTCGAGACCCTCGGCGCCAGCAGCCTGTGTATGTGAGGGCGGGTCACCTGAGCCAGGCCACCGGCTCTGCCTACTTGGAGTCGGGGGACACCAAGCTCGTGGTGTCTGTGCAGGGCCCACGCCAGGCCAAGTGTGGGGAGCCACCGATCGGGCTCGAAGGCCGTCTAGTATGCGACTTCCGCCGGGCACCTTTCTCAACCCCGGGCCCCCGGAGATCTCCTTCTAACAGCAACGAGAAGGAGCTGAGCCTGGCCCTTCAGGAGGCGCTTGTGCCGGCGGTGCAGTTGCAGCGCTACCCCAGAATCCTGCTCGAGGTGTCTCTTCTGGTGCTCCAGGATGGTGGCTCAGCTTTGGGTGCTGGTATCACGGCGGCATCTGTGGCCTTGGCAGACGCCGGCATTGAGATGTTCGACCTTGTGGCGGGCTGTGGCCTGGCCCTGCCTCCGGGCGCCAATTCAGCCTGGCTCTTAGATCCGGTCTTATATGAGGAGCAGCAGGCTGCGATTGGCCTTACCGTGGCACTTATGCCGGCGAGCAACCCGGTGTCCGGCCTGTTGGGCGGCGGAGAGGGCTGCGACTCCGATCGTTGGGCGGAAGGCATCCGACTCGGCATGGAAGGCTGCCAGCACCTGTACCCCACGATGCAGAAGTGCCTAGAGGGAGCCACCAGGAGAAGAAGAAGTCGAAATCCAAGCCCAAGCCCAAGCCCAGAGGGTGGCAGAGCAATGCCAGGAGGCTCAGCAGCCTCCCACTCAGCCGGCAAAGTAATCGGCCAGTTCCGAGGTACAAACGCCAGCTCTCCCCTTCTTCTAACTCTGGCTGTTTCACTCTTTACAAATTTGACTCTCCGGAAGGGGAGTCAGAAGATTTCTTCATTCCCTCCTTCCTTCACTTACCACTGTTTAATCCTTTTTTGAAAGCAAAATCAAGAGACTTTACCATCACCATCATTATTGCCATCAGAACTTTCTCACTTCTTGGAAACGGGGAACTAAACCTCCACATACCATCTACTCCTACCTCTCCCTTTGGGAAGCTGTGTCACCTAAAAGCAATGACTACCATACTACCTGAAGATCTTGAACTGTGAACTTTGTTCTCTCTGAAGACCTAGAGGACTGAGCAAATGGGAAAGGACAAGGGAGGGAGAAAGGACTGATTACCACATATATATGATGAGGATCTCTCCATACTGCTGCCCCACCCCTACCCCCCACAGCCCCCCACAGCACCCCCCCAAATGGATGGATCTATAATTAACTGAAATGATATTCCTGTTTATTAAAAAGTTCTTTTAAAATTCTGCTTTTTGTGTGTTTTGTAAAAAAAAATATTTAAAAAAAAACAAACAAAAAAAGAATCCCCTGTCATTGTGTTGCTCTAAGATTTCCATTATTTCACTTGTGTATTTGTTCCTTTATTCCTTCAACTAATGGCTGAATTCATTCATTTGTAAGCTCCTTGAGGTCAGGAACTGGCCTTTTATCTTTTTTTTTTCCCCCACTGCCTAGCTTAGTGGCATTTACATAGCCGGCATACAAAAAGTCAGCATGGTATTATGGATAGAGTGCTGGATCACTTAACTTCTGTACCTCAGTTTCCTCATCTGTCCCATGGAGACATCAATATCTGTAGCACTGAATGAGGAAAATGGGATAGAAATGCTTTTTCCTGCCACTCAGAAGGGAATGCTTAGTAAATGGCTACCTTTTGTGATAAATATATAGCCCCACAAACTAAGCTTAGGTATCTGAGGCTGTATTTACTAAGATTTGGTCCTTGGTTTAAAAAAGACAAAAACACAGTTACTGATGGGCTACCAGCACCTTAGCTAAGGAGTCGGAGGGCTGATCCCAGGCTTGTAAGGGAGTTTGAATTCAGGTCTGCTTCTGAGGCTGGTGTAAATCCAAGCAGCTGGGACATAAGTAGGTCCCCCAAAATTAGTAGTAATATCTGGAGGTGAGTTTTTTTTTAAACAGTTATAATAGTAATAGTTAGCATGAATATAGCACTTTAAGGTTTACAAAGTTTACCTCATTTATACTATGTTGTTCCTATTTTCCTTAATTCCAAGACCTCTACCACATAATCATGAGGTCAGAGGTTAAATTTAGCAATCTTTGGCATAGATTTTTGAAAGGTCAATCTTGTTCTTCTAGGTCTGGGTTGGATTGGTTGGGGGTGGGGGAGGCCTTCCTGTCTGCTCAGGGCCAGGATGGGGGTGGGGGTGGGGTAGGTAGGGAGTCCTTCCTACCCACACAGAGAAGCAAAACTATATTATAATATTTTATTATATTGTGTAGCTATATTTATATAATTATATATTGTATAATATGTTAACATAATGACTATATTATAATTATTATAAATCCCAAGTTAGGAAAATGAAAGTATATACATATATACTGTATATGTGTGTATTCTCATATATATATATATATATATATATATATGTATGTATACTTATATATATATATCTGTGTATATATATGCATGTATATCTGTATAGATCTATACAGTTATATCTATCTATCTACATACTTACTTTCCCAAATTTTTGCTGGTGAAAGTGAAGACACACATCTATTGATAGCTATTTCTGTAGGTGATTATCTTGGGGTATCTGAAAAGCTGTTGTCAGCTATCCTTTCATAGTGATTATTTCAAACTTACAAAATTTAGTAGATAAAAAGAGAAAAAGTCAGAGAAGTGACCTGCCTGAAAGGAAAATAATATAGGGGAAGAATTACCCTACTTGTTTGGGACACATATGATAGCTTAGCACAAGAAAGGCTTTTAGAATCCACGTACCCCAACCCACTCATGGCCGTGTTCTTTTCCCAAACCAGGGCCTCTAGGTCTTCAAGTTCGACCCTTTGACTGAATCCAAGCTTCGTAGAACAAATCCCCTTAATAAAAGGATTTGTTCTGTAAAACTTGGACCCAGTCAAAGGCTGCACCCAAGGACCTAGAAGGCTCCATGTGACCTCTGCAGGTACCCCACTCCTGCTTAAAACCTTTCTGGATCTCTTACTGCTCAGATTCTTTCCTTCCATTTTCAGATTGATATGCGTACACTTATCAGGGCTTATGTTGGATTTCCCACTATCCATTGTAAATTCGTCTAGAACAGGGACAGATTCATTTTTGTCTGTATTCCCAGCACCTAGCACAGTGATTTGCACACAGAAAGTGGTTATTCAATGCTTATTGGATTAAATTGCTGTGGCCTCTATGCACATTATTTCCTGGGAATAAATAGCCATCTATGTTTTGAAAAGTTAAATATTGCCACTACTACTTTAAAAGCTTCACCAGAACAGAAATACTTGAAAAGAAAAACTGTTCTAAGAAGATATCAGTCCAGCCAACCTTCTACTGACCTATATCATATGTTAACAAAATAGAGATTATTTCTTCCCTGTTGTGTGGAATAGAAGAGAAAGATAGACTTTCTGTTATAATAAATCTTTTAGAATGTGCTAGTCTCACTGGAAAGGATTAGCCAGGATTAGAAGCTGGGCACAAAAGCCTGGACTCACATCTGTAGTTTATGGGGTCAGGAAGGAGAATTATTATCTGAGCCTGAGAGACTCTAGCCCTGAGCAGAGGTTCAGCAGGGAAGAAAAGATGTTCTGCTGATGTGAGCATTCTTGTATCAAATACATAAGAGAATCTTAATTTTGTGTTAGAGGGCAGATCATCATAGGACCTCAGAGTTGCATGATAATGCAGAGGCCTTTGGACCAAGAGTCCACCTGATATTATATCAATCAAGTGGTCATCCACCCTTTGCATCAGGATCCCCAGTGAAGGGGAAGAAGGTCGCTTCTTCCTGAGAAAGACCTCCACCTTATTATTACACTGTTGTTCCTCACATCAAAACCAAAATTTGGCCTTTTGTGCCTGCCCCTCCTTGTCCCTATTTTTACCCTCTTAGGCTAAGCAGAGGGCAGCAAGGTGATACAGTGGACAGAGCACCAGGCCTGAAGTCAGGAAGGCTCTTCTTCGTGTTTTCAAATCTGGCCTCAGACACTTATTAGCTGCGTGACCCTGGACAAGTCACTTCACCCTGTTTGCCTCAGTACCTCCTCTGTAAAATGAGCTGGAGAAGAAAATGGAAAACCATTCCAGTATCTCTGCCAAGAAAACCCCAATGAAAAGGGGTCACAAACAGTTGGACATGACTGAACAACAATAGCCAAAAGGCTAAGCACAAGTGTAATCACTCTTCCATTTGACATCTCTTTAAATATTTGCAGACAGCTATTGGTCCTCTCGCTCACCCCTATTTCTACCTCCCACTCCCAACTAACTCTTTTCTTTTGCAGGTTAAACAGCCTCAGTTCCTTCAATCATTCCTTACAGGCATGATCTCAACACTGTTTGTCATCCTACTTGCCCTCCTCTGGTTGCTCTCTGACTTATCACTGGTCTTCTTAAAATATGACAAGGTAGTGGTGCGAGGATTATTAGTGGCATTTTGAAGAAAAGGAAACTAAGCCTCAAATGACTAATTGATTGGCCCATGGTTGCTGTTATCACGTAGGTTAGGTGGAGCTCAAACCCAGGTCTTCTGACTCTAAGCCCAATCTTCTTTTTTCAAAATCAATACCATGTTATCTTTCAGCATGCAGGTGGGAGAAGATGGTGACCTTTCTGCATTCTGTGATCCCATTTGAAGAGCTGGTTGACATTTTTTTTTTAATTTAATTTTATTTTTAGGCAATTGGGGTTAAGTGACTTGCCCAGGGTCACACAGCTAGTAAGTGTCAAGTGGTTGGTCTAAGGCCGGATTTGAACTCAGGTCCTCCTGACTTCAGGGCCAGTATTCTATCCACTGCACCACTTAGCTGCCCCCCTGGTTGACGTTGTTTGGAGCTGTGCATGCCAGCATTGTTGGATTGTTAAGTGCCCTGGTCAACTTCATTTTCCAGAGCCTGATCTGGGCTCTGCCCAGAGAGCACTGCTATTCTTGCTGGCCAGGCAAGGAGCCTGCTTGGCATCATCCGTGTGCATTGTCTCTGGCAATACACACTTTGTGCTCTGCATATGAGGAAGCAGGCCCCTGACAGAACAATCCTTTTGGCCCGAGTTAGATTAGGAGGGAAGTGTGTGGATTTTTTTTTAATAGCAGATCTCTTTGAGGGTTAAGTGGAATAAGTAAAGGTATAATTGAGCCTCAGTGAAAGTGCTGGCACTGAAGAGTTTCAGAACAGAACCACATCTTGCGTAATGCTAGTTAATTTACCCAGACAGTTGTTAATCTGAATTGACAAATAGGAAGTAATTATACTGCTGTGCATTACCTATATATTAACATCTATTTATGTTGAAGCACTAGGCTTTAATGATAGAGTACAGCTAACAATTTGGTTTGGTTACTTAAACTCAAATTTTAATATATTTTTTAAAAAGACAGATGATGCTGCATAATTTATCCAATTTTCCCTGATAGTCATCTCAACTGAATTATGTGCAATTTTGTGGATATGGCCTCTTTAAATATTTTATGAGCTAGTACAGTGGGAGACATATTACTTTATGTCATTGTGAGACATATTACTATATCACGTTAAGATATTTCAGAGACTTGAGCTTTTGATTGTCTCATGGATACTGCTTAGAATATTATTATTTAAAAGTATCTGCTTACTAAGACTATGTATATGTCTACATGTATATATATGTGTATGTATAGACATATACATCATCTCTATTTGTGTATACACATGTACATATATATGTATGTGTGTGTACACACACATACATATATATGTACATAATGTTTTTTGCTGCTGTAAGTACCTGAATTATAGGTGGAAATGGCTGCTTAGATAACAAAATACTGAAGTCAATAGGTAATAGGGAGTCCTTTTGAAATCTCAGCGAGGAAATGACCTAACAGACATGTCTTAGTGAGATGAATCTTGTAGTGGTGAATAGGGTGGAACAGAGGTAGAAGACAGGCAAACAGCTAGGGCAGATTTTGCAATAATCTCTTCATTAGATGGTGAGGACTTCAACTAGGGTGGAAGCTATAGGAATGACAAAGAAGTGGCACAAATCACCCAACTTGTGAAACGAAGACATTTTATGACTTAATTGACTGAATATAAACAAAGGATATCAGGGTGAATATGAATGGAGATAATGAGATGTGATATTTCTGTG